TTAGCGTAGTTTGGGGCCGCTTTTGTACCCTTTACTCCTGCGGCTGACTTGAAGTTAGTGCTGATTGTTATATTCAAAGCTCTTCAAATCACGTACAAGTCTGTTAGAAATTCAATCATTTTTCAACTGGATATGTGTCAGGTTTCTGGTTGTCACACGATTTAACAAGTGCCTGTCATACCATCGCCATGACATTTGTATAGAAGTATAATATATATCTATAATATATATATAATATATATATATATTATATATATATATATATTAGTGGGGACGTAATAATTCAATGGGCCAGTTAGTCTTCGTGAAGGTATGGGATATTGGCACACGGGAGCGTTGTCCACAAGGCTAAATATATTTATTTCCCAACAGTTTTCGGGAGGGTCCTCCCTCCTCAGGGATGAGTTATACTGACATGAATTTCCAAACTTCGTTGTGCCGCGTCCCTCTCGCCTTGAAAAATGTTTGCGAGAGTGAGAGGGAACTAAAAAAAGGAAAGAAAACAAAAAAATGGGGGGAGGAAAAAAAGAAAAAGAAAGAAAAGAAAGAAAGTAAACAAGAGGAAGAACCACTGTCAACACTGAGAACGAAACCAACTGTCCGTGTACGTCCACATACGTTTCTTATCACGTGCTGTTCAGTTCTCGACGTGTGTCGGGCCACCCAAGATTGTCGCCGCGGTGCCGGGAGGGTCCGTGACGGCGTGCGTAAAGAAGGGTTTCCCGGTGATGTGTCGGTCGGCGTGCGGCGTGCGTAAAGAAGGGGTTCCCGTTAATGGGTCGGTCGGCTCTTTTTACCTTTAATCGGACGATGATTAAAGGTAAAAAGAGCCGACCGACCCATTTGTTTATTTATTATTTGCAATACCCTCAAGGCCAAACGGCATTACAGAGGGCAGTGGTTGCGATAGAAAAGACAAAAATTCTTACAAATGCAGCGGCGAATCTTACATCGAGCAGAAGATCTTAATTATACAGGTTAGCTAACAGGCTTTAGAGCAAACAAAAACGCAGGAATGATGAGAATTACATCAAGACAGAAAAAACGACAAGAAAATAAATACTGTACAGGAACAACACAGCATCGGGTAATACAATACTTTGTTGGCTGTAATTACACATAACTAGCTAAGACACTTTTGAAATGAAGGTGATTTACAATGGCTGCTGCTGATGCGGGAAGCCGGTTCCAGTCCTCAGAGGTGCGAGGTATGAAAGACTGAGAAAAGGCGCGAGTCCTGCAAGAAGGCAACCCGACCTTATGAGAATGATCCAGCCGGGGTGAGATATAACTAGGAGGCAAGATAACACCGTCCCGCAGCGATGTGTGACGAAACAGCTTGTGAAACAAGTGGAGACGAAACATTTTACGACGGGATGAAGGTGAAGGTAAGTTGAGGCTAGATTTCATGGCTGTTATGCTAGCTGTCCTCTTGTAATTGGAAAGTATAAAACGAATTGAGTTATTCTGTACCAATTCAAGAGAGTGTATTAGGTTGGCATGACTAGGATCCCATACTGCAGAAGAATATTCAAGTTTAGGTCGTATTAGTGGGAAGGGGTTCCCATTAACGGGAACCCCTTCCTTTACGCACGCCGCACGCCGACCGACCCATTACGGGGAAACCCTTTCTTTACGCACGCCGTCACGGACCCTCCCGGCACCGCGGCGACAATCTTAGGTGGCCCGACACACGTCGAGAACTGAACAGCACGTGAGAAGAAACGTATGTGGACGTACACGGACAGTTGGTTTCGTTCTCAGTGTTGACAGTGGTTCTTCCTCTTGTTTACTTTCTTTCTTTTCTTTCTTTTTCTTTTTTTCTCCCCCCTTTTTTTTCTTTTCTTTTTTTAGCTCCCTCTTACTCTCGCAAACATGTTTCAAGGCGAGAGGGACGCAGCAGCAACGAAGTTTGGAAATTCATGTCAGTATAACTCATCCCCTGATGAAGGGAGGACCCCTCCCACGAAACTGTTGGGAAATAAATATATTTATCCTTGTTGACAACGCTCCCGTTGTGCCATATCCCATACCATATATATATATATATATATCACGAGAAAAACCGCATGATATTTCGTTCACATTTTTAACATCACAATATGACGCCCCTAAAATCAGGCATCGCGCACGCGCAGATTGCATGAAAGTAATTTACGGGCAGCATCGACACAGTATCAGCAATATTATTGTGCATATATATATATATATATATATATGTATATATATATATATATATTATTGCCGATACTGAGTCGATACTGCAGAATAAGTTACTTTCATGCAATCTGCGTGATGCCTCATTTAAAGAGCATCATACTTTTACCGAGAACTTCAAAAATATAGGCTTAATTCAGCTTGAACATGCATTATAAAACAAATGTTAACCTAGCGATTGACATATGGTGTGGTTTTTCTTATGAGAGCACGATTTCATTCAAAAGCGATAAGAAAACTTTCTTTTATTGAACTTTGAAAGTAAATTAGTTATTATCGGTACTACAAGCTCTTTCAGCCTCAAAGTACGCAAAGAATATTGCGCAAGAAATTACTGGAAATATTGCGAAAGTGAACTACTCATACACATATAGGATACATCATAAATATAGTATGGCTTGTTTGTAAACTAATCCGTATATTATACTTCAAGAGTGATACTGAAAAAAAAAGGCCTTTGCAATCCACAGTGCATTTCACAACGAAAGAACACTAATGGTCCTGTTTACAAGACGAATACGGTATCACGACATAGGAGTTTTCTGCACTGAGACTTTTTTATGTGTAATGATGAAAAATATGAAGGCAGATTTATAATACGGTTTTTAACTGTATCTAATTTATCTTCATATGGCTCAGACGCAAAATCCTAACATTATGAAATATGGTCAATGTTAGCAACGTTCGGACAAAGTCTGCTTCACAGGTTTGATTCTAAGGAAATATTTCTCAAGTCAGTTAATCAACCTTAGATAGACAAAACTTCCGCAACCCTCTCATACGGCATCTCCCATAACTATACCGTCACTTAGAAGCGCGTAACTGTCTGAAACGGTCCTCCTTAACGTCCATGTCTCAAAATAACATAACATCAGTATCGTTGAAAAAATTGAATTGCTGCACAAACTTGTACAGCAATTCAATTCAAGTTTGTGCAGCAATTCAATTTTTTCAAGTATTAATCAACTAGTCTGCAAAAAAGTATTGCATCAGTATCGTGTCACACACTTCGTCTGTCATGGAGCTTCCAATATGAAAGTGGTAAAGTGTACGCATAAATCAATTCTGCGATGCCATCTCTTTTGAGAAGGTGGATTACCATAATAAATGTTGCAATAGGGGAATTTATGAAAGGGTGCATGCGACATATCCTTAACGGCATCATGTCTTGCACATTTAAAAGGAAAAAGTGGGCCAGACACGGTGTCTGTCTTCTGTCTTGGCGTCGCAGAATTTCGCTATGCAATATACCAGCGAGTGCAGACACCCCTATCTCCACCAAAGAAGGCCCATTCCCCAAACGATGTGGTTTTGGTGATCGAGCAACAGTATACCTCGCAGCAGACGGGACAGATGTAGCAGGGTAGGCCAGGCGGTGGGGTTTGTGGCTGTGGTTGCATTTGCTCTCTACTTACGTACTTTGGCTGCTTTAGGGGATGACCGCAGTAAGTTCTCAGCAATAATTACATTGCTGAAATAAAACTTCTCAAAACAAAAAAGTGTGGTCACAGTGTTGAGAGCTTTCTTTGGCGCGCCTTCCTTTCATCTAAATCCCCAAAGATAGTGACAGCCTTTCACGTCCGTCCCCCCTTTCTAAGACAAATGGGCAGACACTTCTACATCGCCACTGGAACATGGCTTAATGCAAAGGTACAATGCCCTTGCACATTACCAATCCCTGTGGCACCGAATTAAAACGTTTGAGCTCGTAACAGTGCAGCTGCTTAAGGTCGCTGCTGCATCTCTGTGAAGTGTATCACATCTCTTGGCGGATAAGTGCCAACTACTCACCTCCAAACAACTACAAGGGAAGAAACTGTCTATAGTAAATCTAGCTGACATGTTTCAGGCAGTTCCAGTGAGGTGATGTGCAAGAAAAATTGCCAAAGCGTTGCTACTCGCCTCTGGTTCACAAAACACTATATAAAAAATTGAAATTTGCAGCATCTCAACTGACTGAAGATCACGAAGAGTGATTAAACACTACTAATAATGGCTAAACTGTTTTAGTGCAAAGAAAAGGTGCACGAAATAGAATTGTTGTTACGTATTGCAAAGGGGTCACGCAAACACTACTTTTATCATGGGCGAAGTTGTGCATAAACGAGTATAGTGAAATAAATAAAAAAAGTCTGCTAAAGCATTCAACTTATGCTGCAGTTCTCTTATGCTGCAGTTTTTCATGTGATAAACGTCTTGTGGCCGGGCATGTCCGTTTTGTTGGAACCTTAGTGAAAGCAGTCTGTGCGGCAATATGTTGACACAAACTCGCTGTTTCACCAGTATTTGCAAAGCTCAGTCAGCTCAGTTAGTGAGGCAGGTTACCATTTTTTTAACAATGCATACGTCACAGAGAAATGACGAAACGTTATCAGACCAAATGAAGTAGTGTTGTCACGTAAAAGGGTTGCACTGTGCTATACAGGGTGATGCCAGCACGCATAGTAAACACGAACTTTTGCTTATACCACCGCAACGTGTTGCTGGTGAAGTGAGAAGAAACAAAGTAGGAGGAGGGTTGCCGGTATTGCAAGAACCTGCTCCCCTCTAAAAATTTCCGCAGTGCTAAAATGTCCACTCTCTAGCGTCGGCACATCTTCGTTTCTTCGCGTATTCAAGAGCTATAAAGCTGTGCTGTATGATGAAAGCCCCGTGGACCAAAAGGGACTGGTCTTGAGGTAAAAACAGAGAAGTAGCTCTTAGTTCTAATGAAATAAAACCCCGCTCGAAATTTTCGCAATCACACTCATAAATGTATTCCTCAGTCACTCTCATTAGGGGATGCATAGAGTGCATACACCAGCAGCAGAAAAGAGCCCCAGGTAGCACAAAGGTAGGATATGAAAAGTGGTATCTGTTCAGCAGGGACCTGTCCTGTCCCTTGTTCTCTGGCCGTTTTGTTCACATCGCCTTTCACATCTCGCCGTGATGCCGAATCACATGCCAGGTTTCAGGCTACCTGCTGCGCTATTGTGTGTGCCCTTTCATAAAATATATGTTTTTGCATATCGATAATCAAATGCTTACTTTTTCGCTCAGGTGATCGAGGCGTTTTCGCGACCTGTCAGCATCTTCAAGGACAGCAACAACTCACCCTTCAAGTGCCTGAGCGCTACACGAACTACGCTTCGACCCTCAAGCAAAGGAAGCAACCTACATTTGGCACCTGAGAGATGACCATGGCAGAGTGAAGTAAGCTGCTCTCTTTTTTTAGTGGCAATTTTTCAAACTTGTTCTCCTTTCTGGTGATAAGACTATTGAAGATCCTCCAAGGATACCATGGTTGCCAAGGCACTGCTGCGCACAGTGTAACTGAAAATGAAGAATAAACATTTTCAGCTTCAATAATGGCCACCGAGAGTGTGTTCTTTGCTAATTGAATGCATGAAAACATACTGACAAGCTTGGTATTGCGAGCAGCGTAAAAAAAGAAAAAAAAAACAACGGATTGTCATTAGTACTCCCGAGAACCCACAAAGGCTTCCTATAGATATTGGCCTCGTGAAAGCAAACTCCTAAATTATTTTTTCACAGATAAGTCTGCTACGCATCGGGATGCATCAGAGGAAAATAAAATCGGGGCAAATATTGAGAGGCTGTCGAATAAGCTTGGGAAACTAAAACACTTCTGGGGTAAACTTAAGGGCTGGTATTTCTTTGTTAGACGGAATAACAATAAGAACTGACAAGCAATTAGGTCAAGGAAAAGGGGATAGTAATAAAAGTAATTGTAGTGTAGTTGTAAAAACTGAAATGTGGACGAAGAGATAACTTGCCGTGGGGTGACCTTCACAAAACGTCTCCGATGCTATAGCAACTGAACTACCACTGCGGTTTTCACCCAGTTCACTTCATGGGGTAGGCATGTGCATTTAAACGTGGGAGTGTCAGTAAGCACCACCTGTTGCCAATAGGGCGAGTGTGGAACACTAATTTTTTGCCAGTTGGCTTCACGTAGCACGTGATCTTATTACGAGCTCGCAGCTAAACAATGATACTTTGCACACCACCTGAAGGCATTAAGTCAGCCAGAATGAGACTCTTGCCCTGAATGAAAAAAAAGAAAGGTAAATTTAGGGGTTGTTTATTTTTTTTGTCGTTATACATAATACTATTGAGAACTCCAACGTTTCAGTGCACATACATGCATCATGAAGTGAACGGGGTGATAGCCGCCGGGGTAGCTCAGTTCTTAGAGCATCGTTCACGTTATTGGAAGGTCGAAGTTCGGTCCCTACCCACGGTAAGTTATCTTTTTGTTCACTTTTCTCGTCACAATTACATAATAATGACTTCTCATACAATACCCCATACTTTTTTGGCATGATTGTCTGCCAGTTCTCATTAAAACAGAGCTGGCACCGTTACAACTTTAGGAGAAAATTCATGGTGCTTACTTGTGCCTGTGCAACACTAGTGAGCACGGCGAATCTGTAGTAGTGTTGGGACTCAATGTGTACACCTTTAATGCACCATAACTGACATATATTAGGTTATGTTGCCTGGGCCTATGGTTCTTGTGGTTTTTGCGATTGCTTGCGTATCATTGATGTGATCGTATCGTCATCGATAGGCAGGAAAAGTCGCTTCTGTTTCAGGATACCTTAAAATAAAACAGAATTGCGTCGTTTGGGCCCTTGAGGAAGCTCATTTTTTGTAAAATTAAGCTTCCGCAACAGTATAGTATGCACACGTTACAAGAATAACGACCACTGGCATGCATAATCGTTTTATGTTGAGCAAAGAAGGCCACGTTTGTATTGCCATCCGCTATCTATGACATAACATTTTTGATGTTACGGAGTCACCTATTAATGTGCTTTCACCAGTTTAGTGTAGCACGTTTTAATTTTCACCTATTTACACTTTCGCTCCCACTTAGATATTTGGGCCTTCATGTGTGCCTGACTTTCATTACAATACGAATGTCATATTTTGTATTATTGATTGGTGCAAGCAACTGAAACAGAAGCACGTGAAAATTGTCCCATGGAGGTACCTAATGAGCCAGAAAAAAAAAGAAGAGGTGGGCAAGATGGCGTTATGTCTGATATAGAGCATTCAGAAGAAGCAAATATGCGCACACGAGCACAACACGTGGATAGCGCCAAGATGAGGAATCAAACCACTGCAATTAAAAAACTAAAGCATGCCAGTGGTGATTATAAATACTAACTTCAGGTTTCACATTTCAAAGCGTATCTTTGAGTATCCCTCTGCGATTTGCTAACTGTTGCCCTGGTGACCTGGTCCCTGTAGCGAGCGACGTAAGTGCGGCTCCAGAGCTTACTAAACACGTGTGGTTTTGTTTTCAAAGGGAGTTTATCTTGTATGAAGTTAGGTGCATAAGATTGCACATGGCTCTTCTGCCCTTAAGCAGAAGTATAATTTTCCGAGATCACCTGCTCAGTCTTAGCACATTCATTCCTTCTGTTCACATATTTGTGAGCATGCTTCCTGAGCAGCACGGTTTTAAACTCAGAGCATTTCGAAATAGGATGCGCCCACTTCAACTAAGGAATGTAGTGCGATGGTCTTTGTAATATACAGAGTCTAAATAGTCGTGTAGACAGAGAACCATATAAAACGCACACGTGATTTCCTTGCACAATGATTTTATTACACTTCGTTTCAGTTTATTCAAGGCAAAATTGTTAAAATTTGCCTTGGGGGTCCCGACTAAAGGTTGAATAAACGCCTCACTAGGTCGTGCCACCATGCCCGCAAGAACATGAACACAACAACAAGCATTTGTGTTACAGAATGCACTTGTACATCATCATTATATGGAGTGGTTACAGGATTAAAAATTATGATATAAGTGAAAGAGAGTATAAACAGATTTATCTTAAAGTTGTATCAATACACCGAACTCAACATGAACTTAAAACAAAAAGAAAGGTAATAAATATAGCTTCTCGCTGCATTTGCGAGTGAACTACACAGAAACTTTATCAACATTTACTAGAATGCTGGGAAAAGTAACAGTGAGTAATTAAAAATCAGTTTATTAAAAAAAGTACAATCGATTACTGTAAAGTAATAAACTATCACTGGCTTAAAAACAAGTTGGAAATAAATACAAGACATATATAGTCACCACATTTCAAGGATCAAAAGAATCAAAATTTTCTCCTGTTAGGAGTTCTCTTGATATTTTTAATGAAGTAACTGATGTTTCATCTTGCAATAAATGAAGCTTGATTGAAGTTCTTGATTTAGGATGTTTAGTATGCGTCAGCTTGATAGTTGGTCTCCGAAGTTGCGCGTGATATAGGTCTCCATATTAGGCTCCTACATAATTCATATGATGTTTGTTTAACATAATATGTATCCAAGAATGGAGATATATTTACCTTAAACTGATGTTGTACCTCTAAACATAGCATGTGTCTGTATTACTGATTGATGGGCAATATTATGTAGCTTTCGAAACATGATCGAGTACTTAATGGAGTGCAGCGCTAGATATTGCACGTAATGCGCGCTTTTGCAGCACTAAGAGAATTAATGTTTATGACAGTCGTTGTTAACCACGCTAAGGAACAGTACGGTAATCAGAGTATACAAGAGCATAGTAATTTTGTCGCTTGATATTTGTTCGGGTGAAGTACCTTAGCCTATTTAAAATGCCGATTCTTCTGAAACATCATTTTTATTGTGTCTATGTGGGGGTTGTTCTATAAAGTTGTTCTTCAAATTGAATTTCTAGGAATTTCATTTTTGTTGTTCGCGGAATCTCAACGCCCTGAAAGTAAATTTGTGCGCATGGAATGCATGTTACCCCTTTCGGTTTGAAGTACATGTATTCTGTTTTAGAGATGTTCAGTTGAAGTTTGATTACGTTTATTCATACATTCCGCTAGTTCATTCATATGTTGGCTTCCTTATGTATTTCGCATACGTCTGATCCTGCAAAGAATACGTTTGTATGATTGGTATACAAAATTATTTTAATATCCCTCAATATTTACAATATCTTAATGAACAACAGCAATAGAACTGGTCCCTGAGGATGGATGGATCTTTGAGGGTCACCATACGCAATGAGTTCGACTTGTAAGCGTATAATGTTTAGAGTTGTATATTGCTTTTGTCGATGACAGCTAACTTTGTATAAGTTGGACTGTGGTACCACAATTACCGGAGTACGGAAGTTTACGTAAAAGTAGATCGTGTTGTATGCTCTCAAGTGGCTTACTGAAATCAAGAAACATTCCTTATGTGCAGATTTTGTTTTCAATATTCTCTAGAATGTATTGTTATTACGGAGTAGAGCAGATTCAGTAGGTTTATTTTCGCGGAAACCATTGCGTTCTTTTGCAATAACATTCTTTGCTCTTACAAAACCCGTGTATGTCTTATTTATATTGCCCTCAGCCATTTTCACGAATACAGAAAGTTCTGAGATAGGTCTGTATTTGTTTAGACCACCAAACGAAGCTTCTTTATGTATTGTAGTAACTTTAGCAAGTTTCATTTGATCGGGAAAAAGTACAGACGGTAGCATCAAGTTATGAATGTGCGCACTCAGAGGAATAGTGATAATGTGACTAATAGCCTTTAACGGCTTAAGCTAATTGTCATGAGAAGCGCAAGCACATTGATCTTTTATTGACATGAATAATTTTTCCATGCTGTGTTGGTCAGTAGAATAGAGAAAAACACTGGATTATCAGTTTGTGGCTTTATGATTCTCGAATTATTTTTCTGTGCTGTTCGCTGTAAACTGCTTAACTGTAAGAAAGTGTTTGTTAAAAGTGTCAGCAATTTCTGATTTACTCATACCGAGTTTTCTGAACTTGATCTTTCTCGATACCTCTCTTTTGTCAACCAGCTCATTTATTGTATCACACAGGAGGCGTGCATCTCTTCAATGAGTGGTAAATTTATTGATATTGTAATTTGTCTTAGCTATCTTAATGTCATTGTACATATTATTACGGATTTTTTTTATAACTGCGTAGGTCGTTTGCATCTCTGAAGGATAAAAATGTTTGGAATAGGTTGTTTCTTAATTTAATTTTGTTGTACAATTCCCCTGCCACCCATGGCTTTGAATTCTTTAATTTTCTGTGGCGCCTAAAAAAAGAAGCATTTCTCATAAATGGAGGCCAAGTACTCCACAAAAATGTTGTAAGATTTATTAGGATCAGTTTCTTCAATAATTGGGCTTCCGTGCACTTCAGTGATTAGGTTCCTAAATAGTCCCATAATATGGATGGAGTAACTCCTGAGTCTCACTTCAACCTTGTTGCCCCACCGCGGTGGTCTAGTGGCTAATGTACTCGGTTGGTGACCCACAGGTCGCGGGATCATATGCAGCCGCCCCGGGCTGCGGCGGCTGCGTTTCCGATGCAGGTGAAAATGCTGTAGGCCCGTGTGCTCAGATTTGGGTGCACGTTAAATAAACCCAGGTTGTCGAACCTTCCGGAGCCATTTACTACGGCGTCTCTCATAATCATATGGTGGTTCTGGGACGTTAAACCCCACATATCTATCTATCTATCGTCATCCTTATTTCCGGCCACACGATTGCCAGGTAAGAAGCACTATATTGGAAAATGATCGCTAATGTCGACAGTAATCGCACCTGTTTTATTATCCACAAAACCGAAGCTTGAGATACATACGTGTAATGTTAATCCAAAATCTAGATGGGAGCCGACAGATAGAAGCAGGAAGTGGGATAGTCGTGGTAAACAGTGGAAGCGCCTCAGACAGGCTGGCCGACGTCTCGATAGGAGGACCTATTTTGTCAAAAGCACCTTGTCATCCTTGGCGTATTACTTAATAGTGAACCCCTTATTGTCTCCCCCTTTTTCCCCATCCCCCGAGAACATTTGGAATCACTACCCCCTAACTTGAAGTGAAGCGAGGAGTGCAGTCTTCTGCTTTAGAGTTTTTTTATTTTCCGGCAGCAATTGCCAACAGGGACATGTGCTACCACCAGGAGATTCCGTCACTAAAGACCCCCTTAATACTAACATGCCAAGAATGACAACGTGCCTTTGACAAAGAGAGGTCCTCCTACCAAAACGCTGGTCAGCTTGTTTGAGGCACTTCCACTGTTCACCCTGACTATCCCAATAAGTCTAATGTTGTTTTAGATGTAGCTTTTATTCTGGGTTGTGTGTTGATTACATTCACACAGTCATCAGCTTCGATAATTTAATTCTAGCATACAATGCCTGGATTATCTAGGAACCTATATTTTTAAATTCACCCACTAAAACAGTTTGCAGGCGGAAATCTAAAGATCTGTACAGTAGTTACTCGGTGAAAATTTGAAAAAAAAGCTTTCTGTTGAACCAGAAGCAGAGTGATAAACAACAAAAATGACACATCAGCACACTCTATCATTATACGCTCATAGCAACCATTTACGACCTTAAACTCAGGTGTTATTCTATACGACAGGTTTGTACGAAAATATTCAGAAACATCACTGCCACCGCCACGCTTTCCTAATCTGCTTGCAGAGATGCAGATGGCAAATTTTACCGCGGCGTTTCATGCGAACATAACGTTTTTCATTTATTTATTAATTTATTGGTTGATTGATTGATTGATTGATTGATATGTAGGGTTTAAGGTCCCAGAACCACCATATGAATATAAAAGACCCCGTAGTGGAGGGCTTCAGAAGATTAGACAACTGGGGGTTCTTGACGTGCACCGAAATCTGAGAACACGGGCCTACAGCACTTTCGCCTCCATCGAAACTGAAGTCACCACCGCGGGGATTCGACCCCTCGACCTGCGGGTAAATAGCCGAGTACCTCAGCCGATGCGGCGGGGCCAACGAAAATGCCATCAGCACTGGGTGTTCCCAGGTAGTTACCCTGCCAGTACTGACCGAGCTCAATGCTGCTTCACCTCGATGTACGACAAAAACTGCCGCATTCAGCATGGTATGGCCGATGGACACATATCGTATCTATTTGTGTAAAAAAATGTGTCAAAATCAGCAGGTAATGGGGCAGTGCAACTATCTTGTAAGTTACTAGAAGGTAAAAGTTGTAATTCTGAGCTGCGCTTCAATAGCCCGAATTGTGTGCTCACACTTCCGTTCCCCTGTGTTATGTTAGCAATATTTTAGGGGACGTGGGCATGCAGATTATGTCAGCTCGAAGGCCACACAAATCAATTCGCCGAGCTGTGACAGTGTTGTGACAGTGTGTTATAAGCGACGAGCATGTTATTAGTAGCAAATGAAAAACGATCATCTTCTTCTTCTTAGGTATTTTTGTCTGAGCGTTGTGATTATATCCCATAAAAGCTACGACACTTACTTAGGTACTTCCATTAGATTGTGCTAGTTGTGTTTCTATTGCTTTCTTTTATAGTTCGCTAATTATTGCAGTTGATTGTACAAAGTGAATTATTAATTAAATTTGATTTTCCAGGCAAAATGTAAGCTTCGACGTTGAGAAAGGAAAGGAAATTGACCAGGTCACCTTCTACGTCGACGATGGTGGGTTATTTTCTGAATCCAATTTTTGATAGTGCTCTCTGAAGATGCTCTCTGAAGATGCTCTCTGAACACTGCCCACACAACAGGCATAGTAATAACCATAATCACTTTCTACCTCGTAGCTTGTGGCGGAGAAGACAATTTTTGTAAAACCGTAGAAAAAAATGAAATTGCCAGGATCCTTTCTTCTCCGAATGCCCACAAACGAATAATCAAGTGAGCCCTTACTTGGCCCTAATGCGTTATATCTTAGAGTAGGCCTAATAAATATTACCATTTAAATATTATTCAATTAGGGCAATGGGGAAGTCTGAGTCAACTGAAGGATCCAGTCACGTTCACGCATATTTGTAGCTCAGAAGTGGTGTCGCAGAAACTTCATTTAAAAGGGAAGCAGTCTCTTTTCCTATTACTATTGGGCATGGATCGTGAGTTTATGTATTACGATTGAAGTTGGTGGCGTCGTGAGAATATCAACAAAAAAATTTTAAATCCTGCCACTCCTAATAGAACTCGAACACATTTGATGATTATGAAATGAATGCTGAGAACTAAAAATGAGAGAGTGCATGACAATTTGTTTCTGTTTTGGCAAGATGCTCACAAGGTGAGACTTCCTCAATACATTTGCATAAGTTTGAGCTGATGTGGCTCAATATAACCTTTATGCTTCTCTATATGATGCGAATCATCTCCTAGTGTAATCGAAAGTACTAACCAATACTGACACTTATGCCCGTAAGATTTCATAGCACCATCATATTTCAACGATGAGACCAAAAAAAAAAAAAACAACACTGTTCTCAAGCCTTCTCATACAAGCGTCGGGAAATTCTTCAAACTCTAGTTCGTTTATTGACAATGGTTGAACAAAGCTATACAGCAAGAACTAGGCTTACAAAAAGGTGCCCTTTGTATATGACACATTTCGTGAGAAGAAATTAGGAGATCTTTTCACCACCAGCGCGATTCTGACGTGGTTGATTGGTCAAATCAGCCTTAAGCAACTGGTCTACGCACTTAGATGGCTTGTGATATTTTGTAAATTTTAATATATATCACTAACAATGCTGTTCATAAAATTCGATTGCACGGGTATTTTTTGTAGCGATTCATTTGTGAAGAAAGCATAAAAAATAACCGTACTACTCTGATACACATGCAAGCGTAGAAAATTTAAAATAAAATAACCGAAGCTAGGAGTTATGTTAGGTAATAAAAAACTTATGAAAACAAAAATATTCAACTTGATTCCTATATATATTTTATGTAAAGTACCAGAAATGCATATGCAAATGCAAGACTACCGCTAAGTTTCTACTTTCTTATCGTGTTCGAAAAAAAAATGCTGATTTTTTAACTTTATTTTTCAGATCGATCTCACCCTTTTACTGCATACTGCAACTACACCGACTACCAGAACTGCATAGTCGTCACTATTCCTTACAGTGGGCACAATCGTAAGACATGAAATGACTTTTTTCCTCATTATTTTCGCGCGTTAAGTGCAGTACCAGTAGTAACAATGCAAGTACCACAGCTCTAGTTTCATATTACGTTTACTTCAGGCTTAATTATGAAGACTTTGCTTGGAAAGCCAGAAACATGACGAACTTTTTTCCGACACCCGTATTTTCTGAGCACTGACCAATGGAAGCAGACTGTTAGTCTAGCTACAACGCTCTTAATACTGCGAACTTGCCTCTCGAGGCACATTCTATTGAACTATTGATGAGGTGGAATTCTTTCGCAGAATTATTTCTTCTAAAACTCCCGGGGTTCCTTGTGCATTCACGGAGATTAGTCAAAAATGAAGACTCCCCTTCTGAGTCTATGCGTTCCCCACTACCGTATGAAAGCTTCTTTCAGCCGACGTAGATTTGCACTGACTCCAACATCGGCCCACCTTTGATCAAGCAAGGGTGTGATGACTCCACCATCTGAAGCCACAAACTTTAACACTCTGACGTCACCAACGACGTAACAGCTATCGGCACATTCTGTAGTCATGATGTCCTTGTATGGTGGCGTCATCGATGATGATTTTAGCATCACTCATGTGGAGGATGACGCGCAAAGCCCGTCAACTTCCAGATTTGCTGAGGCATGTAAGGATTTCGCCCTCATAAAAAAAAAACTAACAACTCTTCGACTGTTGTGGAGACGTAATAAATGCATCGGCATCACCTGCGGCTGCACGTTCTGCGCTAGTGGCTTCATGTTGGGCTAGCGCCTAATGGAACTTTCATGCACGTTGGCGCTCCTTCAGTAGCACTTCATTAACTTGGCAAGGGCACCGACAACAACAGAAAAGAAAGAGAGACGTAAACAGGCCGGCCTCTAGTTTACGTATTTCTTTTGAGATTGTTCCGCTGCGCTTGCTAAGTTGCTCAAGTTCTACACCCCCCAACTAACCTAAACCTCTTCGTGGCATTACCTTCAACTGCGGGTTTTTTTTTTCCGGGTGATCGACACGCATTCGTCGTCATATAGCGAGCCCAATGAGCGATGAGCAACTGCTGATAAAAGCGATAGCGTGATATGTACATCACAATACATAGAGCCACAATACATAGACGTGGAAAGTGTAGCCGGCGAGTATCGCGGCATTCGGAAAAAAAAGCATCGACCATCGCGATAGCTGATGGCAGCATGGGCTGAAGCACTTGTTCATTCAATTCGTTGATATGTGTGGTTTAACATCCCAAAACCACCATATGATTATGAGCGAGGCTATAGTGAGAGGCTTCGAAAATTTCGACCATCTGGGGTTCTTTAACATGCAGCCGAATCTAGAGCATGCGTGTTTTGAGCATTTTCGCCTCCATCGGGAATGCAGCTGTCGAAGGATGGATGGATGGATAGATATGGCTGTACCCTTTAGATCGGGCGGTGGCTAGCGTCTCCAAGCCGGGATATAATCCCGCCACCTGTAGGTCAGCAGCCGAGTACCTTAGCCACTAGACCATGGTGGGAGGGCAGTGTTGTATAAACAGAAGAAATCGTTAAGAGGCGCTGTGCTGGAGCTGACGTGTCGACAAGGGCAATTTTTTTTCGGATGCAACCAAACAGAACATGTACACTTTTCGAAACAGCCGCTACAGCACTTACCCATAAATATGAATTTCTCATCGACACTTTCCGAATGTGCCTGACTACTGCCTCTTTCTATCCATAAAGGGGTGCATACAATACACTGCAAATTGTTCTTTTACACGCCATTTTGTTCCCGGCCAATATCCGAGCAAGGAAGTCACATAGAGCTTTGCTATACATGTAAAAAAACGACACCCGCATCTTCCCACGGAAAAAAAAAAACTTGAATAAATGCGTCGCAAAGTGGTAAGGAGATCAGGTGAAGGTTGCGTGATTAGGTATGGTTCGTGAATGCCTAATTATTACTCTGTCATTATTATCCTGATTTATTGAATGAAAGAGAAGCAAACGAGTGATGGACCGCTGATGTGCCATCCAGTGGGTGGCCAGTGAACGGTTTTGCAGCTCGAACCGTCGTTTTTTACTAGCGGACGCTGCCTGCGTGAGCCTTGCAAGACGAAAGAGGGGGGGGGGGGGAGACAAACAGTTGGCACAAGACCATCAAGGGACGCAAGCAAGCGGCACGATACGCGAGGCACGAGCATGCGCAGTGGGTGTGTGGACATCGCCGCCGATGCACGACGCATGACATCGTGCAACGAAGAAATGGCAGCCCGGGACACTGCAACATAAATCAATTTTAGCGAATGTCCCGTAACTACAAAGGACGTTAGCCCAACGCTGGAGTACGTATGTAATGCTTATGAAATTTGATAGCCCCGCGGCATTACAAGCGATATTGGGGTGTCAAAACAATACGGTCAATTTAAAAAGTAGTTCCGATATCTGCCGTGGCTCTGTGGTAAATACTCGATTGTACGCAGATAGATTGCGCTAGATTTCTGCTGAGACCATGTTATATATTGTATGCGTTCGTCAGCTGGAAGAGGGGGGGGGGTGAACTCTGCCAACGTAAGCTATTTTCTTAACGCTTATGCATTAAAAATACCCATGTGTGTTGTCGCCATTCCTGTCCAGACACTAAGTTTGACTCACCTGTGGCCGATACCCACTAGGCAGTGGCGCATGCCTGCCCACGAGTATGTGCCACTGTTTAACGGGAAGTGGTCGACGACATACGTGAGATGATTTTGACATTATTCAAGTCTTGACTAGCGCATCATATTCGTCTAATCATCTTCGTTCTATTTGTCAAACCATCTTCGCCATCGCGTCACATTCGTTCGTCACTAACACAGTGTAGCCCATCACCTCGAAATCCAGATATACAGACTCAATGCTAATCACTCGCATATTGCACATATACTGTATGAAGACATCAATTTCGAAGATATACAGCCTGTAAGAATTGTAGTGAAAGGAGTGTAATGAAGAACAAAACCAAAGCAAGAAGTTCCGAGTTATTTTATTCTTCGAACGGCCGAATTCTTTGCAAAGTAATTCCATGCCAAACATTTCCGACATTTTGGCGACCGTCTCACATCTGTTTTTTGTATAAATCGTGACAATTCGCTGCATGGAAAACAGTGAAATCGTAGAATATTTCCAAGAGGAAAAAATAAGGTTACGAGGCTGCCTTGTGAACTTCCCGGAATGTCATTTTTGTGTTTGTTAGCAAAATTTATTTCGAAAGTACTGCTCGTTTCTATACCACAATTGGTGTACATGGTAATTAAAGGTTTTTATGTAAGTTGCTTGAAACTCAGTAACATTAGTGTGATTTTCTTGGCACATAAGTGAAGAATTTAACCAAAAATGTTTTACGTTTGTATTTTTTCTGTTGCAATACTGCACTTTGTATGAAAATGTTAGTGAATACTTACACCAAAAAAGCAATAATTTTAGTAAAAAGCAATTATTACCTCTCAAGCTGCTAAACGTTACGAGGTAAATTCGGAAATTTTATAAAATCGGTAATTATGTCAGTTTTGAGAAAATTTATTGTCTTCATTACAAAAAATGTAATAATAGGATTCACCTTATGAAAGGAATTGTTTATTTGATTTTAATCGAAGTATAAAGGGGACATCTATTTGGACCACCACGTGGTGCCAATTGCGTGTCAAAAGAGACAAAAATGACAATTTCTTGAAATTTGTGATTTTTTTGGTAAGATTTAGCAGCTGCAAAGCTATAAAAACATTTTTTTATCAGAATAGACTTTTGTGGAGTAGGTATTCACTACTCAGATATTCATAGAAAAAGCAGTATTTAATTAAAGAAAAAATGCGACAATAACACATTTAGGCTAAATTCTTCGAGGCGTGTGTGCCAGAAAAAATGCACTAATATTACAGAACTTCAAGTTTCTTAAACAAAAACATTTACTTCACATGTAGACGAAGTTTGGTATAGAAAGAAGTGATAATTTTTTTAATAAATGTTTTCACGAGCAACATCCAAATGAAATTCCAGGAAGCTTAAAGGCAGCCACGTGACCAAGAATTTTTTGCTCTCAGAAATGTTCCACCAGTTCACTTTTTTCAATGCAGTAAATCAGCACAAGTTTTTTTATATACACTTGAGATGGTCACCAAAACGGCTGGGACAATTGGCATGGAATGACCATTTTGCAATCTATCCAAGCGGCTTTTCCCTTTTGCCTTTATTCAGTCATTACGATCCATGTTTATTCACTTCTTCGAATCGTTTTTCCAAACCAATCATTGCTTGTCACTTTTTACAGATTGCATGATGTGGCTGCAACGTAGGGTCGCCCACAACGTGCCACAAAACTGCTTGGACAAGTATGAAGAAAAGTGTGGCGTCAAGATACCAACGTTCGACAGCGACCTCTGCAAGGATGACTAATAAAATAGCATTTGACAGTCACCGAACTGAGCTCGCACTAACCACTTGGATCAAAAAGCTCAAGGTGATAAAACACCGAGATATCGGACACTGTCAATCTACCGGTGAAATGTAACCAATTAGAGTCATTGCGATTAAAGTTTACACAATTTTTGCTTTCAGCTTCATGCACGTTCTGCAGCCAGCTGTTTTTCTTCGCTGCTTTTAGGACGCGACGAATGCTCTTGCTGCGGAGTGGCTTATGATTTAACTAAGCATTTCTGCGCAGTCTTTTGGCAACCAACTCCACCTACATTTCTGAGTCTTCCTGGACATAAACGTTTGGGTTAGTTCATGAGGTCGTTATGCTCTACTCAGCGTAATAAAAATCTAAATTTAGAAAATACTCCAGTGTAAGCGATAACAAATATGTCTTTTTTTGCGGACATATGGAGGGGCGCAATGAGTATTCATTGACAATAAATTATAGTATAAGCTAAATGAAGTAAAAAGGTCCCAATAAATCATTATAGCTACATGTATAAACAATGTATGTCAATAATATAACACTCTAGAATTAGCCTTTAATTTAACACGTAAATAAAGCTACGAGGTATAAATACAAATTGTGCTATGAAATATAGCGTATTTAAACATTGTGATCGTTTTCGCAGTATTTTAAAAACTGCAGAAAATTCGTTGATTCCACTCAATATCACTCTTCCAATGCATTTGCTGCAGGAATTTCAGTCCAGTTACCGCATGAAATCAAGCCGCATGAATTTCCGTCTTGTTTAGCTATATACTGCCTGTTTAGAAAACTTAAAAGGAAGAAGCACTTTCAATAATCGTGCTGGCGCTAGCTATTCGAAGCATCCGGGTGACTGTCTGCAGGATGTTCAGTACACTGAAGTTTTGAGGGTACATCTGAAGTGACAGTTCCAGAATACATGTGCCCCTTATTTCGGCCTATTTAGCCTATACATGACATGAAAAAGGCTGTGTGATAATTCCTCAACAAGTTATACTGTTTCTTGCTTCCTACGTAATTACCTAACACACATAGCGGGTAAGTGCAACGTACACCCGGAGTTGCCAAAACCTCCGTTATTTTCGCAGCACATCAAAAACGAACAAGTGAAGCAAACGCAGTCCGCTCTACTCCTTACTTATTCCAACAAAGGCTGCTATTTTAGTGACAGCTCAATAGACAGCCTTCAAAACATATGCAAATATCAATTTCACTCTGCAATTGTAGCACGTGTACTTATTTCGTTGTCCCAGTGGTAATTTACTCTAGGTGATGGTTTCGTCGCTGACATTGTCGGCATATGTCCTGACGTAACGAGTGACGTAGGCGGCAAATCGTGGCCAGTAGTACTTGTGCTGTATTCTTTCAAGCGTACAAAAAACACCGAGCCGTCGGGTTGGGGTGTAGTTCCTGGAGGACTTCTGGTCTCACCACGCTCGAAGAGGTGAGAAGTTCTTGTTCAGGAAATTGCATTTAGCAGGGACAACGACATCAGTCCTCCCTTGAGTACATTCAGACATGTGGCGCTGTTACCCTTGAGGTATTTCACAAGGCTCCTGAGTTCCGGGTCAGGTAGTTGTCGCTCGGCGAAGTTGTCGGCACTTAAGTTCCCAAGAAGCAGTCCTCATAGTCGTCCTTCGGTGGTGGTTTGAAGAAGCACGAAACAGGCAGTCAGCGTCAGAGTGCTTTTTAGGCTTCTAAATGACTGTAATCTCAAATTCCTGACGTCTTTGGCTCTACCGTGTGAAGTGAACAGAGGTGTCTTTCAAGTTAGCTAGCGAACACAAGGCGTGGTCGCTCACAACTTTGATGGGCTCGCCCGAAACGTAGGGGAGGAAACTTGATGTAGCCTGGATGATGGCAAGATACTCGTTTTCTCTTGTGGAGTAGGTGGCTTCTGTCATTGATAACGACCGGTTAACATAACTGATCTAGTCCGTTAGTCCTCTGCAAAGGAACAGCCCCGAGTCCTGCAGTGCTTGCGTTGCTGTAGATTTTTGTCTTCGCGAATTTATCAAAATGCGCTAGTAACGGAAGCGTCTACAGGCACCGTTTTAGTACCTGAAATGTTTCCTCCTGTGATGTTCACCACTTGAAGTACACGTTGGTCCTGGTAAGGTTAGTGAGATGCTCGGCAATGCGGGCAAAGTATTTGACAAATCGCCGGTTTTACGCACACAGGCCAAGAAATTGACACACAACCTTCTTGTCGGTGGGCGGCGAGAAGGCGGCGATGGAAGCTGTTTTCTGCTGGTCAGGGTGAACTCTAAACTTGCTGATGATGCGCCGCATGAACAAGAGCTCCTTGTATGCGAAGGGCATTTTGCCGGCTTCAGGACGAGTCGGGAGTTCTTATTTGCTTGCAGTACAGCTTCAAGGCACCGGGGGTGCTCATCAAAGTTTGGGAAAAAACACCATGCCGCCCACGAACAGAAGCAAGTCGGCCACTTAAAACTGGCCAGTACTGTATCCATACTGTGTTGAAAGAGAGCGGGGGCCGAGCAAAGACAGCAACGCATGACTTTGAACTCGAATAGGCCATCTAGTGTTATATATGCAGTCTTTTTTATTGTCTCTTTGTTTAACCACATTTTGCCAGCAGCCTGCTTTGAGGTCCATCAACGAGAAAAGACGGTTGGGAAGTCGATCAAGGGTGTCCTGTATTCATGTAACTGGATACACGTCATTTTTTGAGAATTTTTAGGCGACTGTAGTTGACGCCAAAGCGTAGGGTTTCGTCCTTCGTCTTCACCAACACCACGGGGGGCGCCCAGGGACTCGGACGGCTGGATTATGCCGTGGTATAGCGTTTCGGCATTTGCTTCTTCACGGCTTCGCATTGTCACATCGAAGCTCCATAAGGGTTCTGGTGAAATGGTCAGGCGCTTTATTCTCTTATGATACAATGTTTCGTGACTAGGTTCTGCCGAATTCTTAAAGATGACGAGAAGCAGTCCTTGAATCGCAGGAGCAAATTTTTAAGTTGGTCTTACTTGTGCTTCGGGAGGCTCGGGTTGACGTCGAAATCAAATTAGGAATGTCAGTTCATAGAGACAGGTTCAGAAGCATCAGAAAGGGTGAAAGAATCACTGGCGTCAACCAAGTCTTCCATGTGGGCGATCGGGGTACCTATGTAGAGGTGCCTGTATTCTTTTCTCAAGGTTGCATTCATTACCGTCACTTGCCCATGACTCAGCTGGGCGATGCTTCTTGCAACGCAAATCTGACGGCTAACGAACTGGTGATTGATGCCCTCGATGATTCCATCGATGTATGTGGTCATTTCGGTCCAGACGGAAACGATGATCCATGAGCAAGGCGCAATAGGGACTTAGTCTTCCAGGACATTTACTGCGTGATTCTTTGGCGTTATGGAGGTTGGCAGCGCATTCTCTGATGATAGTGTCATTGACTCGTACCTTAGGTCAATGACAGTGCCAAGTTGGCTAAGGAAGTTCATCCCAAGTGTCACATTGCTGGAGCAATGTTGTAGGATCACAAAGCTCCCAGCATAAGTCTGCCTAATAGTGGTGAGTCTTGCTGTTCAGACCTACGTTGGAGTTATTATTTGACATCCAGCGGTTCGAACTGCGAAAGCTTCTCATGTAGTCTTTATTTACTTCAACTTTGTCGCGAAAGGTCCACCGAAGATAGATTAGTCGGCTCCCGCGTCGACGAGAGCGGTGACGTGGTTCCATATGTCAAGTTTGCTGGTTCGCCATGGTGCGTTGTTGTTGGGTCGGGGTGTCGGATCACTGATACATTGGTGTACTTCGCTGCTTCCGTGTTGCTTCGTGAGGTCTGCTTCGAGCAGTGAAGTTGGGACGTCAAAGCCCCTTCTGTCTCGCGGCGGATGCTTTTGATTGGGTTGCGGTGTATTAGCCGGTGGAGGATTTTAGGTAGTTCGTCGTATAGCAACATCACCTCCATCAGTTGCTGCGAATAGTTTTAACGCAATAGCATTAATTAAAGAGCCCATGTCGCAGAAATTCCGCTGCCGGCGTCGGACCCGTTGGTTGTGAGCGAAAAATCGTCTGTGCGTCTGGGACTGAAAAATAAGGTTACCGACATCGCCGCGGAAGGCCGCTACTTGTCCACGCGTGCGTGCGCGATCACACTGAAAAAGCCACGCATTTGAAGAAAAAAATGCCCAAGGTCACAAGGCGTGGTAGTTCCTTTGCCCCTGCCACCCCTTCCTGCCTAGCTTTCAGCGTTTTTGTCAGGAGGAGAGAAGAGATATTGCAATCGCAGCATGCGACAAACCTTTGTAACTCCACTCACACTGGACAGATTCTTAAAATTTTTGGCGGTGTTGAATTCACGACGTAATAAGCTGTTCTAGAGAATTCATTCCATGGTTACTTGAATAAGTGTGCCAGGGCCCCTTTAACGCATTTCTTTCGACAAGTGTCACGATGGAAACGAGCCCATTCGGCGATAATAGCGCGCGCTGGTACCATATACTGTGTGCGTGTGAGTGTGCAAGCGTGTGTGCGTACGTAACAAAACCTAATAATAATTATGCACTAAGCGGTTGAAGAGCGCACATATAGGGACCGGATTTCACTATCGCGTTCAACTCTTAAAGGCAGAGCTTACGGATCCCCCAATTTTTTCATAATGAGGGCTCGGAAATTGTCCCCGGTGAGGGCCAGTATACTGCCGGCGGTGCGAGGACATGTAGCCCCAACGGGAAGTTCCCCAGGTCATTTTTTTTGTGCTCCAGCGAGATAGTCGGCGATGACTTAGAACGCGGCTTGTCAATGGCTAAACCACGTAGTCCCTTCTGACGATACTAGTAGCGCCTGCACGTGTGCTTGGCCTCTCCACAGCGGTCGCAGAGAAGGCAGCGGTCAGGGGCCCGCGAGACGTCAGTCTTCGTCGGCGTGTAACGCTGGCTATTTGGCATGTGGTATGAGAATGGGGGTGGGGGCAGTGGTGTTTGGGGGCGAAAGAGCGGCGATGTAGCGTTTTGGCGTGGAGGAGAGGCGTGACGGCAGGCCGCAGCACCATAGCTCCGAGTATGATTGATTGATACGTGGGGTTTAACGTCCCAAAATAGCTCCGAGTTTGCAGCTGCGGCTATGGAAGTTGAGCAACGACCAGCGATTGCTCGATTTTCCGGCGTACGACGTCCACGATGGAGTCCACTTCAGGC